GCAGGACACACTCAGTCAGACAGGTGGGATGGGGCCACGGACGGGCAGAGAGCAGAGTCTGGGAACGTGATGGGTGGGTGGGCAGTGGGTGTGAGCCAGGGCCAGGGCCAAGGCCAAGGCTGGGATCACAGGGCGGTGACAGTGTGGGGCTGGAGCCCAGGCCAGAGCCACAATCTGTTGCCTACACATCTCTGCAACACGCACTAGTTCTGTAGACAGGGGCATGCTCGGAGCAGATCATGGCTCAGCTGTGGGCCCCAGCCCCACACTATCACCACCCCACGATCCCGGCCCCTGCCACCTGTCCTACTCCCAGACGCTCCTCCCCACACACAGCTCCATCCCATCTGTCGGCCAAGTGCACCCTGCCCACAGGGGTCCCAGACTGATCTCCATGGAGACCCCGGAGTCAGAATTGCCAGACAGTGACAGCAAAAGGCTGGAGCCCAGGGCAGAACCACTTAGGCAGTTTTGGCAAGTTGGTGCAAAACCAGGGGGGTGGGGGCAGGGGGCAGTGAGGAAGGGGGGCAGGTGCTAACCAAGCTCACAACAGCTCACCAAAACTCCCTAAGTGGCCTTCCAGCCCAAATAATTGCCCACCTCTGCATTATACAGAGCAACTGGTTGGATGAATTTGGGTTAGATCATGTAGCCTTCTTCCTCTAAAGCAGCAGAAGTTCACAAGACACATGGTCTAATTCCATATGACATGTTCACATTCCAATCTATATAAATCCCAAAGTGCATTTTGTTTCCTTGCATCTCAGGCTTAGGAGACTGTTGTGCATTTACAACATAGAAATGTTAAAAGGCAAAGAGATCTGTTTTCTTACTCCCTATTTTAGACGTCAGTGACTTTTACAACCTTTTGCCACAAATTGTGGTTTGCCAAGTAGTCATGTGTCTTGGATCTTTCTGAGATCCATCAATACCCTGTCAATGCACCTTCAGGGTCATTTTATTTCCTGCCACTTTAAGAAATGACAGAAAGGCCCATAACAACATTGCTTAACCTCTCTCGCTCTTTGAAGCAATATGCATTACAAACTAATATTCTTCCCTATTAAAGACCGTGCCATCTACTTAAGCATCTTCATTTCCACAGTGAAGCTTATATACTTTCCTTTTCTTTTACAGTGCAGCAACCTCGTTTATTATAGCCTTTCTAAACACATGCATGCTCTAGCTTGTGCAAGGGTGCTTTGACACAATTCAAAATGTCTCCTTTATTTCTATTTTCTCAAGTGCCACTACAGTATCTTCCTTCTCCTTTATGCCATCAATCAAGCCATAGTTTAACATATGCTCCTCCTTCAAGTTCTCTTCATTCATTACTTTTACAAAATAATTGTTCTGAACTTTAAGACAGTTCAGTATTTGATTGCAACATACCATGATCATTTCTAATATACAGCCAACTCCTGTCATTCACTTGATAAGCCTGTATGATCTTCTCTCCCACAAATTTTCCTATTCGGTTAAAGTATGTCACTGGCTATACTTTTAACAACTAACACATTTCTTCTGGTCTCTGTTTTACTCCTCACATGCCACCTTATCATGCTGAAGCATGCTGACCTGCCATTTTAAAGGCTACTTTTTTCTTCCAAATTGGATCCCACCAAGTGGAATTTGATGAGGATTCCACCAGCAGTTCCTTTTACCTGACTCAGCACTGGTTTAATCATTTCTAGGGCATTACACACAGACAACTTTGATTTGTACCAGCTGTATTCCATACACCCCAATGTACAAAAAACAGAAGATTTCAACTACATCTTTTCAATATTTAATTTAAAAAATGTAACTCCAGATGCACTCAATACTTTGTAGTATAGAATCACTAATGTTTTACAAAAATAATTCTGAAACATATGCAAAGTGAAATGCATCACATTCACAGAAAGCATTTTTTCCTGACAGTTTCACATAATGTAAAAGTATTACACTTAGGAAGTCAGACAATCCTTCAAAAACTTAACATTGCCAAAGAAATATGTACCAATGTGGAGTAAATATATTTAAGATCCATAACTGTAGCTGTCTCCTGAATACAAAGTGAACAAAAAGCTGCTTAAGTAACAGGAGGGGAAAAAAAGGGGAAAAAAAAGTTTCCCTCCTTTTGCTTTTGCCCTCCTAAAGCAGACTAAGCACAAATGGAAAGCCTTATATGTATTTTTTTAAAAGAAATTAAAATCAACAATTCAGCTGATTACCTCATGTCACTGTGGACATCAGTGTTCAGTCTGTGTAGGGTGACATCGCAGTTGTATACAGGAAATAAACATAATATTCTTAAGAGCAATCAAAATTAGCACCTGCAAATATCAACAACTTAAGCTTAGTTCAGAAAAAGCAGACAAGAATATAGTTGGATGTGAAGAGGAAGGATGAGCTCAGCATTAAGACACTGGGCAAACTCTGAAGCTTCACCATGGTCATACAAATATCCTAGTAAACTTGAGTTTAAAATAAAGTTATTCTATACATGCATCACGTTTTCCCCTTTGTCAGCACAGAATGTAAACCCTCTAGGCAGGGAATGACTCATTAAACAAACAGCATGCCATAAGGGGTCCTGTGTGTGTTCTTATACCACAGCTAAATTCCCCAGAATGAAAAGCTCAGATGCCTCCTATAAGCACTCCATTTCAAATACTGTAATTCAATCCAGATTTGTGACTGGTTGATAGTTATCTGTCTACATAACACTTAGGTCTACAAATCTGTGGGACACTGAATTTCTGACACCTTCCCAAAAGACTGCTTCAGTTTTCTATTTTCACTGAAAGATACAAAGCATGAGTGAAGAATATTAGGTTTAACCATACAGATATGACCTGACTATAAAGACTCTGCCTATATCATCATTCCCTGGCCTACTGCAACCATAAACCTACTTGCTTACTACGTCCTTACAGGGTATCGCTGCAGTAGACAGGCCTTGGCTGAACAGGACCCCAAAGAAGGCCTGGGAGAGACCCTGTCAAGGGGTCATATCCCCTTCACGTTCACATGAAAGTAAGGGAGATTTGGTCCTGTATTGCAAGTTTGTTTTTGGGTTTTTTTAGTTTGTGTAAAATACTAAGGAATGAAGTAATTTCATGGGGTACATCCCAAAGCCATTCCAAATACATGTATTTAGTTGCATACACAGATACTCAGACCTTGTGCCATAATCAGGGAGGCCAACTTCAGATACAGCTATCCAAGACAGACTTACAATTAATGAATGAATGAATGAATGAATGAACAAACATACAGATAGATAGATAAATAATGTAAAAGAAATACTGCATGCTTTATTACCTCAAGCAAGAAAGGTTATGCACTGCAGGCTTACCATTCACCTATCCACTATTCCTGAAGGCTTGGGTAGATAACTGCCACTTTTTTTTTTCCCCACATACCAATAAAGCTAAATACCATACAAGGCTAATCTAATCAGCTCTATAGAAAAGTGCCTGCTGAAGCATCCAAAACTAAACACAGTACAGAATATAACTGCCCCACTTTTTACGCAATTCTCCACAAGATAAATACCTTTATTTCCACATCTATACAACTACTAAATTCTCAAATGAAATTTGAAGTAGTGGTTAAATCCAATAAAGTTTTGAGTGACAGCCAATGCAGTCCTTATGAAGTCACCTCACTTCCTTGATATACTGCTGTCACTAGAAGCTCTCATTCTAAGATAACTAACAGGCTGCCAGAGTTGTCTGCACAAAAGATTTTTTTTTTTTGGGGGGGGGGAAGGAGAGAGAGACACAGTGGTTATGCTTACTAAATAAACCCGGAGAACACCAAGGGTGGAGACAGAAGAACAGCTCCCCACTATAACTCATAATGCTTTGCAGGAAGCGTTCTGAGTTATAACAATCCCCCAGACCAAACGGAAGTATGCTGTTGGGTCCAGTGGGGAGGGGAAGATGGGGAATCCAGCTGCTGGCTGTAAGCCAGCACCCCACCCCACTGCTTCTGAAAACAGATCCAAGGCTGGGAGGCAGGCAGACCAAAGTCACTGAAGATGCTATGTTTTGAAATGTCTTCATCTGAACTCTCATGCAATGAGGGTTCAGATTTTCATAGGATTGGGCCCTTTTAAAGCGCTTTGCAGCCATGCACTTCTGTTTGGTCACACCTGTAGAGCGCTTTCAGGGGTCACATTGAGTAAAAACTGTCACTTCTCTGTGCATCCCGCTATGAGTTGGAACGATCCCCTGGACCCAAAAGAAATTCACTGTTGGGTCCAGGAGCTGGGGATTCTAGCTGCCTGGTGTGAGCCTGCAGCTATCTCCCTAGCAATGCCACTCCCTCCCTCCCAGCCCTGACACTGTTTCCAGAATTGGAGGGGGGAAAAGGGAGCAAAGGAAGCTCACTCTTGGGGTTCCCTAGCCAGGGCTGAAGGGTAGGACAGATGCACTGAAACATACCCCAAGGTAGGAAGGCTCCAATCTACCAGTCCCAACCTCCACTGCTAGCTGAAAAAACCCCAGACCAAACTCCCTCCATTTCCTTTCCCTCTTCCCACTGTGAAAACAGTGACAGGCTAGACCTCTGCAGACAGAGGTTACAGAACATGCTTTGTTTTGGAATGTGTTCATCTGAACACTCATGCAACAAGGGTTCAGATTTTCATGGGACTAGGCCCTTTTAAAGCATTCTGCAGCTGCTGTGCACTTCTGTTTGGTCACAGCTGTAGACCACTTTCTGGGGCCAGATCAGGCAAAAATTGTCACTTCTATCTGCATCCTAAAACAGTAAGCCCCTGGCCAACAGAATTGATATTTAGACAACCTCAAAAGCATTCAGAATTCACTATAAGAATTAAGACCAAAAATTACCTACAGTACAATTAAAGATGATGCTTCTCAGATCCCCAAAATTAGTCAATTATGAATAGAGAATTAATTAATGTTTCAGACCTAACAAATCTAACTGCAAATAACATTACTCATGCATACACAAATGCCAAGACACAGTTTTCCTTTACTTACCATCACTTTCACTTTTACTTTTCATGTCTTCCATCCATGTTGGAATATCTTTCAGTAGAACATAGTCCCTCAAATATTCTTTGCGCCTCTCCTCCAAAGTCATCTTCAACAAACGCTCTAGTTAAAAAAAAAAAAAAAAACAAAAAATGTAAAGTAATTGAAGTAGAGTAATTTTTGGTTGCTAGGGAAAGGATGATGCAAGAGAAACAGGTATGATGTAATTCAACGCTGTCCAACTTCCAAGCAGGCAGGGACCTCACTACCCATGGGCTACATCAGTGGGGGCCGCACCAGTATGGGCCACAGGCCCCACTGGCTGCAATCCATATGCGTAAACTCCCCCACACTTTTGCAGTACCGCACTACCTCACCTTCAACTGCCCAGCTATGGGCTCTCTTGCTGCACCACACTGCATGGGCACTCTGAGCTGCCAGCTCCTCCAGTAGCATGAGCTGCACCATGCCACCCTGCCCTGCCCCTGAAGCTGCAGCCAAAGGAATACAGGTAGCAGCAGATAGATGGGCGCCTGGGAGGGGAGCGGAAAGGGCCGCACGTTAACCTCTCACAGGCTGCACGCAATCCACAGGCCACCAGTTGGATAGACCTGGTTTAATTAAACAAGTTACACTATGCACTTTAATGTTATTCATCTTCTTCAGTCCACTGTGACATATTTGCCACTTACTTTGCAGCAAAAATCGCCAATACCTGGTATGACCTGGGGTCCACCACTTTTAGTCTGGGGGTCAGGAAGCTCGGTCTTGTCTTGGTTATATGGATCATTTAAAATTACTTTCATACACTGATGCAGCAAATGTTCTTGAGGGGTGGGGATGGGGGCAACCAGTTGCAAAATGGTCCTGTGTTCATCTGGACTTGTAAAAATCAGCTGGGGGAGACTGGGACCACTACTGGCAGAGGCTGTCAGTGCCTCCCAGAAACTAGACTGATGCTAACTCCTCAACCAGGTATCACTGTGTTTTCCCTTTTGGGGAAGAGAATTGAATGGGCAGCTGCCTAACAGCTTCATTTGGATGCCACTGCATTCCCGGACGCTTGTCAGTTTGGCTTTAATCCTGGATATAGCACAGAGACTTTGCTCATATCCTTGGTTGGCAATCTTTGCCTTAAGACAGACAGGGGAAATTGTGCCCTGCTGATCTTACTAGATTTTTCAGTGGCCTTTGATAGATGTGACCATAAAGAATTTATATAACCTGATGAGTATTTGCAGAACCACTCTAAAGTGGCTCTGATCTTTGCTACTCGAGCATTTGCTCTAGTATCACCATCTGGGCATCATCCCCACCACTTGCATCACCATCTGGGCATCATCCCTTCACAACCTTTCCTGTAGGGTCCTCCAGCACTCCACCTTGTCACCCCTCCCATTCAATGGCTGCTGAATGAGACTGTGCAGAAAGTAAGACTGGGATGCCATTAGTATGCTGATGATATCCAGGTCATCTAGAGATGCATCAATACATCAGTCCAATATTGGATCACTACCGATATAAAGAAAATTGACTGCATCAGAAATCGGCCCAATGGGGCTGATAATTTGGCTGATAAATGCCTGTGCGTGCAAGCAGCCGCAGCACAGCACTTGGGCAGGAAGGAGCAGAGCCCAGTAGCGTGGAGAGCTGCCCTCCAGCTGGTAAGTTCATTGTGGTGGAAGGGGAGGGAGGAGTGAAGGGGCATGGGGGGGGGGGAATCAATGCCCTCCACAGTGAGGGAGGGAAGGAAGGGGCAGGGGCTGCCCAGTTGGGGTGGGGCAGGGCACAGGACAGACCTGCAGCTTGTGGGGGGGGCACCCCAGGAGGTCACCAGGGGGGCGTGTGCCCCTGGATCTGCGTGGGGTGGGATGGGATGACGCGGGGCTCTTCTTGGCACAGGTTGGGCTCAGGGCAGGAACTACAAAGGGAGTTGCAGCCACCCCAAATTTTGCCATAGCTCCCTCCCAGTGCCGCTACACAGCCAATGCAGCCCCTTAAAGATGTAGAGCTACCCTTGAAGACCATCCAGAAGCTGCAGCTGGTGTAGAACACAGCAGCACACTTTCTGATGTGGCTGGGTTACCAAGATCACAACTCCAATACTCCAGAGCCTAAACTGGCTCCCAATGGCTTTCCAGGTGCAATTCAAAAATGCCTGTTTTGACCTAAGGCCCTAAAGGCTCTGTACCAAAAGGACTTGCTCCCTTAAGGATTGTGATAGAATGTAAGCTGAGCCTAGAGCAACCTCCCACAAGTACCATCATTGAACCAGGTCTGCTTGGCAAAAAACACACAGAAGGTAATTCTTGGCAGTCACTCCTCAGCTCTGGAACTCCCTTCTTTTTGAGGTTTGCCATAGCTCAAGCCTGGACATCTTTCAGAGATGCTATAAGACCTTCTTGTTTGGGCAGGCATTCCAACAAGCAATCAAAAAGGCAGATTCACAAGGCAATATTAATTTTTCAGTTTAACATCTAGGATCTGCTGGTTGAACCTTAATTTTCCTGATCCTGAAAAAAAATCTTGGTGCTACCAAATCAGAGAACAGACTCAAAAACTTCACCAACTTTCACTATATCCTGACCACCAGATGGCAATATGTCCCTCTATGGCTTCCCCTTTAACAGAATATTTTTCCCTCTAACTTCAGTTTCAGTTTAATAAAATAAGGCTTAACCCACTATAAGACAACTCTACTTTTTTAAACAAACAGTAGTATATCTGTGACCAGAGGGGCACGCCAAAAGCAATGCCTTAAAAAGCCTAATGCTGATAGAAGTTTGCGAGGTCCTTTGAATGGCTAAAAAGACAAGTGTTCTGGACCCCTTTCTCCAGCAGCTAGCTTTCAAGCCAGGGAGCAGAAGCAACAGAAAGTAGTCTGTCCTATTTTTGCTATTCTTGCATTTGTGGGAAGGGTGAGGGTCCTTTCTTAAAGGAAACAGCTGAAAACCACTTTTAAAAAGTTCAAAACACTCATCACCACACATGCATCCAAAGAACAATATCATTCTGAATACTAATCTCAAGAGACCATTAGAAAAAGGAATTCCTCCATATCAAAAGTGAGCAAGAATATTCATGCTTTTATTTTAATATAAATTACAAATGTTTTAATGTAATTCATACATTTAGGTATAAGTTTAACCTTAAGAACTTTTTTCTTTTTCCATGAGCTTAGCAAAAGGTTTGAGAAAAAAAGTTAGCAGCAGTTGTTAACACTAACTTGATACTAAACCCTGGCAGCTCCCCACTGTGACAAGCATTACTATCTAATGTTCTATAAGCAGTATAACTTTGTTTGGAGCGGGACACCCTCATATCAACACAATATGAGAAAAGAATGCTAAAGTGACCCTTCAAGCAAGCCATATGCAACCAGGTTCTTATATCCATCATAGCACCGGAGCATTCAGCCCAGCAGGGGTAACAGAAATAAGAAGCGGACCAAAGTGGTACCATAGATTCCCCAAGTTGCATGCCACCAGCAAGTGAAAAGAAGGTGCTATAATTGCTCTTCCTGCCCGTATATAAAAAGTATATATTTGAGGCAGGTGAAGGTACCAGAAAATAGCACATGGTCATGAGCGTGCGGGCCGGGAGCGACCCGAGCCCTTTTCCGCGCTGCACGCGGGCTGTGGCCAGCAGCCCGGGCACGCCGGGTCGGAGAGGGAAGGCCGTCGAGCTGAAATTAGGCACAAACGCGTATCGGTAGTTTTAAAGATTGTTTACTTACACCGAGATGGCAGTGGTGTAGGCTGGAAAACTTGATTGAGTTGCAGTTACAGACAGACAACACAGACGGTCTCGTGGAGGTTGCTAGGCTCCACGGTGCAGAGCTCCGGATGCTCTGGGTAAACGAGCCACCAAAATGGAAATCATAAATACGTCTTATAAAAGTCGCGCTCGAAGACGGGAAGAGGTGGGCGGTGGATCAGGCCGCCAAGCTCCTCTGAATCTCACACAGGGTTTCTTTTACCCTGCCGTGTACCCAGAGTCCCCACGAGATGGATGTGGAGTCCACTTCGGCTTGGTCGGAAACTGCTCAAGCCTCTTATATGGCTAACAGGCCAATCGTTAGCCGCCATGTGTGAATAATTTAGCACTAGCCAACCACGGGGAACAAATTTGCATACCGGTGGCAGGAACTCTTTTGCACCGTGCATTCCTCTTGCAACATGAGCAATGCATTCTGCAAAAGCAGCTGCAGAAAAGGCGGGAAACTCGTCCCTGCACCGGGGTTTCCTCTGCATCAGGAAACACTCCCGTGCAATGCTCTGCAACTCGGCGGGGATAATTCTGGTGCCGAAGCGCGCACACACAATCATGCCTTTTGGGTCATGACAATGAGCACAGATTTCATCAGTCTCAAGCTGTATGCAGTGCATCAGCATAAAGCCAAGTTATTCTAGGCTAATAATAATGAAGCAGATTTCACCCAAGATGAAGTGCTAGAAAAGGAATTGAACCACTTTATTCCAATAGCTTTATACAAAAAATTCCTTCTATAAAAAAAGCTGTGCAATATTGTAGAGCAGGGCTGTCCAACTTCTAAGGGGCTGGGAGCCACATGCCCCACAGGCTGCACCAAGCAAGGCAGGCCCCCCTGCCCCTTCCCCTGATCGCTGCATCATGCGATCACACAGGCAGAACTGTGTGCCCATGCAAGCACCCCCTCCCACACCTGCATTATACATTCACATGGCCCCAGTGTCACCCTCCGCTCCCCAAGTCACACTGTCCTGCCCCCGCCAGGCAAGAACAGGAAATGGAAGCTGGAGACAAATGGATCCCAGAGACTCTGGATGCTGTTGCAGCCAAAGCAATGGAAGGGGGAACAGCAGTCTGAGAGAAGCCCAGGGGTCTCAACTTAACTCCTCATATGACACACAAGGCTCACAGGGAACAAGCTGGACAGCTCTATTGTACAGCACACTGATCACTTTGTACTGAAGTTAAGGCTCTGATTATTTACCATAAAAGCAGAGTATGACAATATTAAATTAATACTCTCTGTAAATACAGTTTCTCTAAAAGGCCTCCTGGTTTGATATACGAAATATGAAATATACAATCTAGATTCAATACTTTATGATGGCATCTTCTGAGATCTTAGTGCATAT